ACTTCTGTTAGTCTTAAAGGTGCCACAGGACCCTCTGCTGCTTTTTACCAAGCAAGTGGGGATTTTGGCAAATTGTTTTGGTCAGGAAAACATAAAACATTTCAGTTTTCCAGGCTAGAGACACAAGGGACATCCACAAAACTGAGGGGGAAGAGGTACTGCCTCCCCCTTCCTGTCCAGTAGCCCATTGGGCAGGTCATTTACCTGGAGCAGGGATTTGAATTTGCATTTTCCCCCTCACAACTGAGGGCCCAAACTACCAGGCTGTTAGGTATTCTGGGCAGGGCTCTCTCAGGCTGTCCTGGGGAAGCTGTTCCTCTTTGTACTAATACTTGCATTGTCATTGGGCCAGAGAGAGCGCTACACATAGGGTGACCAGATGTCCCAATTTTCAGGTCTTTTTCTTATATAGGCTCCTATTACCCCCCCCCCATCCCAATTTTTCACATTTGCTGTCTAGCTACACACTCTCTAACCAGCTGACTGGAGCACTCAGCTGGAAGGAATGAGAGTTGGGTTCCTGTCCTTACTCCAGACAGGGGATTCAAACCTGGGCCTCCCACAGTCCAGGTGAGTGTCCCAACCACTGGACTACTGGGAGGAGGGAGAGTACTACTACTTCCTCTGTTTTGTCCCTTGTGGAGCTAGCTCTTTTCCCCATATTTCCTTTGCTTTTATGTTTATAAAGGTTTTTTTAATCAGAAATTAATTTTTCCAGAATTTTCATTTCCCAAAAAAAGTCAGTTTTGTGTTGACCTGAAACCAATTTTTAACTCCAAAATCAATTTTTCACACTGCTGTAGGCTGGAGTAGAAACAGGTACAGGGGTGAAGTGGTTTGCCCCAGGACAATAGCAGCGATGGCCCTAGAACGCGGATCTCCTGAGTCTCTGTCTGGTGTGCCATGTTACTGACTAGTCCTCTAGTGGGTAAGCTGCTAATCAACATAAATAATCCTGATTTTGCAATAAGAATGTAGGAAACTTTTGCTGCCACCTAGCGGATTTGGTGGTATCTTTTACAAGCTCCTTCTGATGTGGGAGAATAAAAGGTTGTATGAACTGACTGTAATGTTCTTGCTGACTGGGTACAGGGAAAATCATCTTTGAAAGACAGATTCTGGCTGATGCTCAGTCAAACTATTTATGCAGGGCCTTGGCTTTTAGTTCAGCGTCCCAAAGGCTGTAATAATACAAAGGGCTTCACCTACGCAGTCTCTCTTTAAACAACTTGGGTGTTAGAAACAAGTCCCATAGACTCCTCCAATGGGAAAACCCATGGAAAAAGGGGAGATTTCTCTGACTGGGGGCATGGTGTATGCTGACCCACGGAACAGGCTGCTGGGCCAGCCCACAAACTTTGTCAATCCTCTCTGGATCTGCGCAAAGCCAGGAGGACATCCAAGCAGCTGCCCTAAGCATCTGTACCAGTTCTGGGCTTTTGGCAACTCCCTTTCCCCCTAACAGCACGGCTCTAGTGCTAGGGCTTCTGCAGAAGGCGGCTGTCCCAGGGACCTTCAAGAGATCTCCCCCGCATTGGTGGTGTGAAGTGACACACACGCACAAAGGTAAGACATAAGGGTGGTGAAGAAACAATGTGCGTGTACACACACACACACACACACACACACTTGACCTGCCTTTGCCCCACCAAGAACTCCAGATACCTAGAGCAGTCTTTGTGTGGGGAGAGGGAGCGGGAATACCCTATACAACCATGGAGGTGTCTGGCCCTTCATTGCACTGACTGATGCCTGCAGAGCCAGCTGTCATAGAATCCTAGAATATCAGGGTTGGACGGGACCTGAGGAGGTCATCTAGTCCAACCCCCTGCTCAAAGCAGGACCAATCCCCAACTAAGTCACCCAGCCATACACACCTACCTTGATTTCAAAGCTCTTGCAGTACACTTATTTGAATGTGTGAAATGTACGCGTAAGAACAGTGAAATAAACATACATGGTTGATTATAAAATGAGCAAAAGGTTTAAACCTGGCTTCCTGTCCTGATTTTAAACTCAGCTAATGATAGCCTGCATCTTTGAAATGGCATTCTTCACGTCTTCTCCTACAGTGTTGCTGTGCACTGTCAAATTGCTGTTGCATTCCTTCCCAGAGGTGGCTGTATTTCACTGCTAAGTGAGGTGACCCTTGTCTCTTACCGACTCCCATAGATGTTGTGTGTCTTAATTAATGTTAGTAAGTGCTTTGAGATCCTCCGGTGCTAACAAATTGGTGTTATAATAAAAGTAAATAGAATCTCATAAACAAGCCAGGGTTAATTTGAATAGACCTTGTCAACCTCCCTCTTTGCTTCTGAAATTTTCTCTGCAATATGCTGATTTCAGGTTAATCTACATACACTTAGTTCTGATTACTTTGTTCTATGTCTACCCTTTGTCACTTAGTTAATGACTGAATGCTTCACTTTTCTCAAAATGGCTGGCAAAATTAATTGGCAATTTTCTTTAATTCTCAGCTCACCCAAACATTTGGATTGGTAGAAAGATGCAAATGAGTGCACTGGGTTAATTGGATACTGGATATAATTAACTAATGCACTGTTTCATTGTTGTGAGTAACTATTTTCAGAGAGCAATTTAAAAGCGCTTCTGAGTTTCTAGCATTGACTGAAAGGAGCTTTAGGTTGCAGTCAAGTATCAGAGGGGTAGCCATGTTAGTCTGAATCTGTAAAAAGCAACAGAGGGTCCTAGGTTGCAGTGTTTCCTCTGATCTAATCATCCAATTTCAGTGGAAACAAACCAAACCCATTCTTTCAGGTCATGTTTAAATAGGTGATGAAATCAACAGTCCAGACTTTCTCTTTGGTACTTACATGGTCCCCCTTACCATAGTAATTGTGCACCTCACATGCTTGAACTTATTTATCCTCACAACACCCTTATGCAATAGGACAGGCTATTATCCCCATTTTACAGTAGGGAAACTGAGGCACAAAGCGGCCAAAGCCTCCTTTTTCCCCCCACCAGCCTGCTG